CGAGCAATAAATCTTTGAATATTTTCAGCTCTAATTATTCGTATTTCCGATCTCTGCAGGTACGAAGGCACCGGGCGCTCCCTCTCCCTCAAACTGATTCAGCAGTTGAGGCAGCAGAGTGCAGACAGTCAGCAGAGCATGTCAGCAGAGAACAGGACCACCAACACAGCGAGGCTAGCGGCAGGTAAACACTGAATCTCTGTGTTTTACTGTACGTGTGTGTTCAAGTGTGTCGCCATCATCTGACTGATTGCTGCTTAATTATTTCCCTACACAGCTCGCTCTCTCCATGAGGCTTCCCTTCACGAGTCCATTCGCTACGCTCCAGGAGATGCTGTGGAGAAGTGGCTGAACGACCTGCTCTGTCTGGACTGTCTCAGCATTCCCAGGCTCATCTCTGGCTGCCCGCTTCCACAGACCTGTGACCTGTATCCTTAACTTACTGTAAAGGCCTTAAAGTTACCCCTGGTCTAGACACGACTGTCACACCTGAAAACATTTTTTTTGGTGGCATTGGTTACATAAAGATTTATGTTGTGGCATTAGTTAAACACAAGCATTTTATAAAGGGCTGCAACTAATGATTATTTTCATTTTGGATTCATCTGCCAATTATTTTCTCGATGAATCATTTAATCTGTAAAATGTCAGAAAATACTTAAAAACAGCATTTTACAAATTCCTAAAGCCCCAGTTGAGGTTTTCAAATTGCTTGTTTGGGTCGACCAACAGTCTAAAACCTAAACATTTTCGATTCACTATCTAATTAGACCAAGAAAAAACAGAAGATCTTCACATTTGAAAAGCTGGAACTAGAGACTGTCTGGTTTAAAGTTGACTTAAATGATTAATTGATTATGATGATTGATGCTGGTTAAGATTAATCAGTAGGTATTTAAACATTTACACAAGTCAAAAGTACATTTACATCAATTCAAGTATCAATTCACAGCTGCCAAAAACGAAGTTTGGGCAGATTAGTCTGTGCTCCCATTAAGTCACTTATCTTATTTATAAAGATATTACTAAACTTGCCCAAAATGTTCCCCTGCTTTTCCTTTTCCATCAGTCAGAACCATACAGTTAAATTTATACAGCATTTCGAATATCAAAGTTGATATTTGATCTTAGCTGAATTTACTTCATGTCAGGTTTGAAAGGTCCTTATCCCACACCGTCCAGATATTACGTGAACAGAGACACGCTGTTCTGTTACCACAAGGCATCTGAGGCGTTCCTGCAGAGGCTGATGGCTCTCTACGTGGCGTCACACTACAAGGTTAGACATTTAACTTGTAATAAAATAATTCTGATTTATTCAGAGAGCATACTGTCCTACACACAGTGCTGTGTCGCCTCTGTGTTTATTTGCTGTCTCATTGTGTCCTCTGGCTCCAGAATTCCCCCAACGACCTGCAGTTGTTGTCCGATGCTCCAGCCCATCACCTCTTCTGCCTCCTGCCGCCTGTTCCTCCCACACAGAACTCGCTACCTGAGGTTCTCGCTGTGGTGCAGGTAAGACACTCAACACCGCTCATGAAATTCAGTGTTTTTTTAAAAGCTTCCATGGATTTGAAAGCAAAAGGTTGGGGCAGATTTTTTTTAAAACGAGATCAGTCTCCCACAAACTGGGGATGAATACCTTTTTTATGTACATCTTGCAATCTGCCTTGACTTGCACTAAATCAGCCATTTCTTTATTTCTGTCATTCACTTAAATCACAAATACACATTGGCTCCAGCCAGATTTCTTGAGACTTTGCTTACATTTTGGAGACAAATTTTTTGGATTTGATTGATACATGCATTTGTTTGTCTGTGGTCCCTCAGGTGTGTCTGGAGGGAGAAATATCACGGCAGTCCATCCTTAATAGTCTGTCCAGAGGGAAGAAGGCCTCTGGTGATCTCATTCCCTGGACTGTGTCAGAACAAGTATGTACCTGTCACAAAGCTTCTGAGAAAATCTTTACAGCTCATGTTTCCACAGTGCAAATATGAATGCTTTGCTCTTTTCTTTCCAGTTCCAAGACCCAGAGTTTGGCAGCCTCTCAGGAGGCAGAGTGGTGCGAATAGCTGTCAATCCAGACTACCAAGGGGTAAGAATTTCCAAAGGCCTCAGCTGTTTATCCAGTGTTTTAAATAATTTTCACGTGTGTAATTGGGTCTCCACCTGACCAACAGATGGGTTACGGCTCCAGAGCTCTCCAGCTGCTGCAGATGTACTATGAGGGCAAGTTTCCCACCATGGATGAGAGCACACACTCTAACCACAATGAGATCACCTCCGTCAGCAGTGAGGTATTACAATTAAAATGTATTGAGCAACATCTGAGAGGGATTAATTCCCACATGAAGTGTAAAAATACAATTTAGAGATGAGATTAAACACATGCATCTGTGACACAAACTGTGTTGTTGTCTAGGCTGTCAGTCTCCTGGAGGAGGTCATCACGCCACGGAAGGAGCTCCCCCCTCTGCTTCTGAAGCTGAGCGAGAGGAGAGCAGAGAGACTGGACTATTTAGGAGTTTCCTATGGCCTCACTGCACAGCTGCTCAAGTGAGTGCTCCTAACCGTGGAGAGGGGAGGTGGGTGGTATTACTTCTGAAGATTTATTAATGTCCAAAAATTTTTGTGCAACCTGGCAGGTTCTGGAAGAAGGCAGGTTATACTCCAGTCTACTTAAGACAAACCCCTGTAAGTATTAATAAAAAAGATCTTGTTTTAATGTTTAAGTATGTTTCTGTTCATTGTGCTGTAATCATTGATGTGTGTGTGGTTACATCTAGAACGACCTGACAGGAGAGCACTCTTGTGTGATGCTGAAGGAGCTGAACACAGATGAAGCCCCAGAGCAGAACCAGTGGCTGTCTGCCTTCTGGAAAGGTGAAATTTGCTGCACTACCTGAGGAGATCTGGTTTGTTTTGAAACTCATTATCGTCCTACTGAACAGTTTTTTGTTTTCCTCAGATTTCCGCCGGCGCTTCCTGTCCCTCCTCTCCTACCAATTCAGCAGCTTCCATCCGAGCATGGCGCTCAGCATCCTGCAGAATAAGAAGTCCAAGGAGGAGACGAGCAGTAAGACCCCTCTACCTCTACAGTGATAAGACTTCCTCAGTGTCTCACAGTTCTGACCTCATGTGTCTCTGGTCTCCACAGTTCTCAGTAGCTCCGAGCTGGGTACCCATTTCAGCCCATACGACCTCAAACGTCTGGAGTTGTATTCGAGGAGCATGGTGGACTACCATCTCATTATGGACCTGATCCCAGCTGTGGCACGCATGTTCTTCCTCAAGCAGCTCGGTGACGTCTCTCTGTCAGCAGCCCAGTGTGTAAGTACCTCCCACTAGTTTGGAACCCCAGTTGAGCCTTTGCCATGACCACAATTATTCTCTTGTGATGCTGATTGGCTGTTGACTGTTCTTCTCTAGGCGTTACTGTTGGGTATAGGGCTGCAGCACAAATCAGTGAACGACCTAGAAAAGGAAATCGAGCTCCCAAGCTCGCAGCTCATGGGCCTCTTCAACCGTCTCATCCGTAAATTTGTGCAAGTGAGTACGTTTTTCTATATGATGTTATACAACCTATTATTAAACAACTGCAATAACATGAGTACTTTCTGTTGTTCTCACCTTTACTATCCTAGGCCTTCACCAGCATCCAGGAGAAAGCAATTGAGGCAGAGATGATGGCCACTAAAGACTTTACCATGGAGCCAACTGTCAGGAGCCTTAATGATGATCTGGTACGTGGTGTCTTAGCACTCAGTTATATGTGATGCCTAATTAATGCAGAAACAATAAGTGATTGAATGAACAGTTAATAGACTAACATACCAAACGTTTGCTGGTTTCAGCCTCTCAGATGTGTGACTTTGCTGATCTTCTGTGTTTTTAATATCTTTCTATAGGACTGTTGGTTGATAATATAAGCAATTCAAACATAACCTTGAGTGTTAGGATATTTTGATGAATTTTTCACTATTTTCTGATATTTTATAGATCAACGCTTCTTAAAAAATATTAGCAGATAGATATATTAGATAGAAATATTGTGTTGAAGCCCTACACCTAAGAATGTTTGAAGGAAACTTTTTTTTTTTCCATTAACAGAATGATGCAGCGAAGGAGTTTGAGGAGCAACACAAGCAGGATATAGAGAAAGTGAAGGACTTGGACTTGGAAGAGTGAGTATGAAGTCAGGAGGGTGGTCATTATTTATCTATGCCTTTTTTTTTTCTCTTTAAATCAGGGAAATATTCACTGAAGCTGGAATGATTTCTTCTGTATTTACAGGTACAAGATCCGTGGAGATGACGAGGAGTGGGACCAGGTGTTGAAGAAAGCAGGGAACACGGCTATTGTCAGCATAAAGAGGTGCAGTGTCATTAAGGATCTTATAAATATAAATATTGTGTGGTTGTTCTAGAAACATGTTCGTAATGATATCGTGTTACTCCCAACAGTGACAAGAAGAGGAAGCTGGATGGAGGAAACGCAATAGCAAGCAACGGGGGTCCCCAGCACGGGAAACTGAAAAAGAAGGAAATGCAACACGGCAAATTCAAGAAGAACAAGGACAAACACGGCAAATTCGGAAAAAAGGCGTGACAGCGAACAGTGCTGGATCAAAAGGACTGTGTGTGAATTGGAAGCCAGAACTTTGAAGATCTTGGATGGACTTGCAGATACTGAAGAGCATCCACTGAATTTTTTTGTTTTTAAATTGCTGATGATTTCTTTGAATTCAGCTCATCCATCTACATTAAGTCGTAACTTTCAAATGAAGTTTGTTACTTTGACTTATGTTGTGTGCAAGACAGTATATAAAGCAGAAAATAACACCCTTCACACTTGTACTAAATAAGTTTCATTTACTTCATTTTCAGACATTTTTAACCGTAATTGTTGAGGTCCTTTTTAGTTAAAGTCATGATTTCTACAAAGACTTGTAAAAAGTTGTTTTTTTTTTAAAACAGAAACAGAAACCTGAGGTATGTGATTGGCTTTAGGCTCCACTGAGCGGGTTACTGGAACACCTGAGGCTGTAACTCAATCCACTTCTGTTTGAGCTGCTGCTTCACTGTCTGTGGTGCGAAGATACAATCTATGGCCTGCTGGGAGAGCTTCCAAACGGTTTCATGACTGAGCCCAAATGTGGAAGCTGTCAGCTGATACTCCTGAGACAAATCTGTAGAGAAGACCCCCTTGTCATCAGTCTGTAATGAGAAAAAGAATAAAAATCATTCATGGTAAACATTGTTTTTCTTATTTTCTTTTACAAAGAAATTAACTATTAACTACTATACTAAGATGTCTTTATTACGCTTTTTTATGCCTTACTATACTATGTTTTCATGCCTTACCAAACAACAACGTTTCTATGCCTCACTATACTATGACGTTTTTATGCCTTACCACACTACAACTTTTTATACCTTACTAAACTATGACTTTTTATGCCTTATTATATTATGATGTTTTCATGCCTTACTATACTATGACGTTTTTATGCCTTACCATACTATGATGTTTTTATGCCGTACCACACTACAACTTTTTATACCCTACCATACAACGACGTTTTTATACCTTACTATACTATGACATTTTTATGACTTTCTATACTATCAAGTTTTTATATCTTACTATAATGTGAAGTTTTTATACCCTACTATACTATAATGTTTCTATGCCTTATTATACTATGATGTTTTTATGCCTTGCCTTACTATACTATTACTCTTTATGCCTTACCATACAACGACGCTTTATACCTTACTATACTATGATGCTTTCATGCCTTACTATACTATTACTCTTTATGCCTTACCATACAACGACGCTTTATACCTTACTATACTATGATGCTTTCATGCCTTACTATACTATTACTCTTTATGCCTTACCATACAACGACGCTTTATACCTTACTATACTATGATGCTTTCATGCCTTACTATACTATTACTCTTTATGCCTTACCATACAACGACGCTTTATACCTTACTATACTATGATGCTTTCATGCCTTACTATACTATTACTCTTTATGCCTTACCATACAACGACGCTTTATACCTTACTATACTATGATGCTTTCATGCCTTACTATACTATTACTCTTTATGCCTTACCATACAACGACGCTTTATACCTTACTATACTATGATGCTTTCATGCCTTACTATACTATTACTCTTTATGCCTTACCATACAACGACGCTTTATACCTTACTATACTATGATGCTTTCATGCCTTACTATACTATTACTCTTTATGCCTTACCATACAACGACGCTTTATACCTTACTATACTATGATGCTTTCATGCCTTACTATACTATTACTCTTTATGCCTTACCATACAACGACGCTTTATACCTTACTATACTATGATGCTTTCATGCCTTACTATACTATTACTCTTTATGCCTTACCATACAACGACGCTTTATACCTTACTATACTATGATGCTTTCATGCCTTACTATACTATTACTCTTTATGCCTTACCATACAACGACGCTTTATACCTTACTATACTATGATGCTTTCATGCCTTACTATACTATTACTCTTTATGCCTTACCATACAACGACGCTTTATACCTTACTATACTATGATGCTTTCATGCCTTACTATACTATTACTCTTTATGCCTTACCATACAACGACGCTTTATACCTTACTATACTATGATGCTTTCATGCCTTACTATACTATTACTCTTTATGCCTTACCATACAACGACGCTTTATACCTTACTATACTATGATGCTTTCATGCCTTACTATACTATTACTCTTTATGCCTTACCATACAACGACGCTTTATACCTTACTATACTATGATGCTTTCATGCCTTACTATACTATTACTCTTTATGCCTTACCATACAACGACGCTTTATACCTTACTATACTATGATGCTTTCATGCCTTACTATACTATTACTCTTTATGCCTTACCATACAACGACGCTTTATACCTTACTATACTATGATGCTTTCATGCCTTACTATACTATTACTCTTTATGCCTTACCATACAACGACGCTTTATACCTTACTATACTATGATGCTTTCATGCCTTACTATACTATTACTCTTTATGCCTTACCATACAACGACGCTTTATACCTTACTATACTATGATGCTTTCATGCCTTACTATACTATTACTCTTTATGCCTTACCATACAACGACGCTTTATACCTTACTATACTATGATGCTTTCATGCCTTACTATACTATTACTCTTTATGCCTTACCATACAACGACGCTTTATACCTTACTATACTATGATGCTTTCATGCCTTACTATACTATTACTCTTTATGCCTTACCATACAACGACGCTTTATACCTTACTATACTATGATGCTTTCATGCCTTACTATACTATTACTCTTTATGCCTTACCATACAACGACGCTTTATACCTTACTATACTATGATGCTTTCATGCCTTACTATACTATTACTCTTTATGCCTTACCATACAACGACGCTTTATACCTTACTATACTATGATGCTTTCATGCCTTACTATACTATTACTCTTTATGCCTTACCATACAACGACGCTTTATACCTTACTATACTATGATGCTTTCATGCCTTACTATACTATTACTCTTTATGCCTTACCATACAACGACGCTTTATACCTTACTATACTATGATGCTTTCATGCCTTACTATACTATTACTCTTTATGCCTTACCATACAACGACGCTTTATACCTTACTATACTATGATGCTTTCATGCCTTACTATACTATTACTCTTTATGCCTTACCATACAACGACGCTTTATACCTTACTATACTATGATGCTTTCATGCCTTACTATACTATTACTCTTTATGCCTTACCATACAACGACGCTTTATACCTTACTATACTATGATGCTTTCATGCCTTACTATACTATTACTCTTTATGCCTTACCATACAACGACGCTTTATACCTTACTATACTATGATGCTTTCATGCCTTACTATACTATTACTCTTTATGCCTTACCATACAACGACGCTTTATACCTTACTATACTATGATGCTTTCATGCCTTACTATACTATTACTCTTTATGCCTTACCATACAACGACGCTTTATACCTTACTATACTATGATGCTTTCATGCCTTACTATACTATTACTCTTTATGCCTTACCATACAACGACGCTTTATACCTTACTATACTATGATGCTTTCATGCCTTACTATACTATTACTCTTTATGCCTTACCATACAACGACGCTTTATACCTTACTATACTATGATGCTTTCATGCCTTACTATACTATTACTCTTTATGCCTTACCATACAACGACGCTTTATACCTTACTATACTATGATGCTTTCATGCCTTACTATACTATTACTCTTTATGCCTTACCATACAACGACGCTTTATACCTTACTATACTATGATGCTTTCATGCCTTACTATACTATTACTCTTTATGCCTTACCATACAACGACGCTTTATACCTTACTATACTATGATGCTTTCATGCCTTACTATACTATTACTCTTTATGCCTTACCATACAACGACGCTTTATACCTTACTATACTATGATGCTTTCATGCCTTACTATACTATTACTCTTTATGCCTTACCATACAACGACGCTTTATACCTTACTATACTATGATGCTTTCATGCCTTACTATACTATTACTCTTTATGCCTTACCATACAACGACGCTTTATACCTTACTATACTATGATGCTTTCATGCCTTACTATACTATTACTCTTTATGCCTTACCATACAACGACGCTTTATACCTTACTATACTATGATGCTTTCATGCCTTACTATACTATTACTCTTTATGCCTTACCATACAACGACGCTTTATACCTTACTATACTATGATGCTTTCATGCCTTACTATACTATTACTCTTTATGCCTTACCATACAACGACGCTTTATACCTTACTATACTATGATGCTTTCATGCCTTACTATACTATTACTCTTTATGCCTTACCATACAACGACGCTTTATACCTTACTATACTATGATGCTTTCATGCCTTACTATACTATTACTCTTTATGCCTTACCATACAACGACGCTTTATACCTTACTATACTATGATGCTTTCATGCCTTACTATACTATTACTCTTTATGCCTTACCATACAACGACGCTTTATACCTTACTATACTATGATGCTTTCATGCCTTACTATACTATTACTCTTTATGCCTTACCATACAACGACGCTTTATACCTTACTATACTATGATGCTTTCATGCCTTACTATACTATTACTCTTTATGCCTTACCATACAACGACGCTTTATACCTTACTATACTATGATGCTTTCATGCCTTACTATACTATTACTCTTTATGCCTTACCATACAACGACGCTTTATACCTTACTATACTATGATGCTTTCATGCCTTACTATACTATTACTCTTTATGCCTTACCATACAACGACGCTTTATACCTTACTATACTATGATGCTTTCATGCCTTACTATACTATTACTCTTTATGCCTTACCATACAACGACGCTTTATACCTTACTATACTATGATGCTTTCATGCCTTACTATACTATTACTCTTTATGCCTTACCATACAACGACGCTTTATACCTTACTATACTATGATGCTTTCATGCCTTACTATACTATTACTCTTTATACCTTACCCAACTATGACAATTTTATACCTTACTATACTATGACATTTTCATACCTTACTATACTATGACTTTTTTATGCCTTACCATACAATGACGTTTTTATACCTTACTATACTATGACTTTTTTATGCCTTACCATACAATGACGTTTTTATACCTTACTATACAATGACGTTTTTATGCCTTACTATACTATGAAGTTTTTATATCTTACTATACTATGACGTTTTTATGCCTTTCCATACAATGACATTTTTATGCCTTACTATACTATTACAATTTATGCCTTACTATCTAAGATGTTTTATGCCTTACTATACTATGATGTTTTTATGCCTTACTATACTATTACTCTTTATGCCTTACCATAGAATGACGTTTTTATGCCTCACTATACTATGACGTTTTTATGCCTTACCACACTACAACTTTTCATACCTTACTATACTATGACGTTTTTATATCTTACTATACTATGACATTTTTATACCCTACTATACTATGACGTTTTTATAC